GACTGCCGCAGGTCCCGTGTGGAGGGACGTGGGGTGTCCCTTTGCGTGGGCAGGCACGTGCCCGCGACTCCCTGGCAGAACCTCTGATTGCCTTGTCAAATCCGGCAGCAGTCGTGACTGATGCCTGCTTTGTGATCTGCCAAGTGAAGATGATTAAGATGCTGGCCTGGTCCTTACAAAAATAAAGTGTTCCCAGTGGGAGTTTCAGCATTTGCTGAAGTAGCTCTGATCGTCGTTGAGCTGTATTTCCTTAAACTTGGCGTTCAGCCGTACCTGAGCAGTTTGAAATTGAGCTTTACGCAGCGCTCTGGTAACCTCGTGAGCCAGCAGTCAGAAGCAGGCCAAAAATGCGCTTCTACGCACCTGATTGCAGAGCCTAATTTTGTACTGTTACCACATTTATCCTTCCTCGTATTTTCCTTTAAACTTTTTTTGTACCAGTCAACCGTTCACCTTATGCTCATATTTCATTTAGGCATTGAAAATTTACAATTAATGAGTTTTATGATTAAAAACAAATCATAATACTTTTTTCCCCCCCTTTCTTTGTCTCTTTCTAGTATGTGCTATGAGTTCATACTCAGATCCATTCAGGGAAATGTCTTTGCTTACCTTGGCAGAATAATATGTAATAGACGTGATGGACATATACATTGTACAGATGGATAGCTAAGTGCCTTTGATTGCTTTATTGAGTCATTAAAATAATGGAGCCTACTGAGAAAGAGTTGACAGTGTTAGACTGCAAGACCTGGCCTGTGCGTGAAATGTATTGCCCTCTTATGATGTTTTTGGGTGTATTTGGGTGTCTGTTTATTTACTCGTAATTTTCTTGTATAGGACGGTTGGGATGCACCTACCAATGCCAGCAAATCTTTATATTCTTACATGAAGTTCATTATGCCACGATGGCTGCTAGTACAGACACGTTATAGTATAGAACCCTTTGCTTCTCTTCTATGATTGTAGAGCTTTCTGCCCGTTACTTCTTTCCCATGTCCCTTCTTAAATACACTGTCATTTTGACTATTTGGAGATGGAAAATAAATTTGTTTTTTTCACATCTGCAGGATACTTGCAAGGCACTAGTCTGCATTGCTTGCCCAGAGAACCCGAGCTGACTGAAGGTGCCTAGTGCTTTTTACGAGTATGAAAGCTATACAACAAATACCTTTTAATAGCTGCTTGAGCAAAGTGCCAAAAGAAGAAAATGAATGTGCAGACAAGCACTTCCTTTATTGAGAGTGCATTTCTGTGCTCTCGCTGGCTAGTTACATGCAGTTTGGCAAAGCAGTGTAAATACTTCTAAGAAATGTTTATCAGTGATTTCTTTATAAATAAACGTGTTTGAAATAATAAGAACGTGTTTTAAGACATAAATCTCCTAATTGTGGAATATAGAGCAGTATTCAGTCATTATGTGTTTGCTGCCAGAAAGTTAAAGAAAGCCACTGGAGGAAGCTTCATAGCTAGTTGTCTGGAGAGAGTTTGAGGAAGTAGAAAACCAACCCTTGACCGTTGTAGCCTTTTCTGCAGGTAGAGAGAATTTTGTTTGGTTGGGTTTTTTTCATTTCAGGTTAGCTCAGGTAAGAAAGTAGCTAGTATTTGTTTAAACAGCAAGAAACCTTGGTTTTAGGAATAATACTTATGTAAGAAGCTGGAGCTCTCAGATATAAATTCTTGAATGGTAACCAAGAAGTGTTGACTCACTTTGCTCACTGGAGTAAGCTAAGTCATGGATTACATTTCTGTTGTCTTCTCTAGTGAATCTAATACATTGAAATTACCTTTGTTTAATGAAAACGGTTTTCAAATACTACTTTCCTGCTGTGCTAAAGGAACTCCTTTTGTACTCAAAGCTGAATTCAAATGCAAAATTTTTATTCATTTGTAGATTTCTAACATAATTAAAGGCTAGAGTTAATAATGCAAATACGTATCTTAAACTGCTATAACTACTTGGGCACATACATCCACCTAGCTACAAAAGAAGGTGCCAAGCTGAGATTAAACTAGTTTAAGTTGGCATACCTTGGCGTTTATTTGCCCATGTTAGTTAGCTTTTTTTTGTGTGTGAATTAAAGCAACAAAGCAAAGCCCCAAGAAATGGCAGCAAATGGCAGCTTTAGAGTTGCACAATCAACCTGAGTCAAAAAGTGGTCCACTTTAAAGAGTCCTCTGATTCCTTCAGTGTGGTCCACCTGATGGACCACGAGCCAAATTCATTGTGGGGAGTGCTTCCCTCTGGCCCGCTGCCCCTTCCAGGCAGAGCTTGAAGGCCCTCTTCCAGGGCTAAATGTAGCCTCAAGGACCGAAGGCCACCAGCCCGCTCGGAGTCTCGTCCAGCACTGCTGTGGCTGGGGCCTGCGTTGCTGGGGCTGCCGCTTCTGCAGTGGGGGGAACAGGAGGGGAGGCAGCAGCTGCTGTTTGACAGCTTTCATAAATGGTTGCTTGCTATGCATGGTGGTTTCTGAATGCTTACTTTATGGCCTGATAAAAAGCAATGTTGGACATGGAAGAGCTACACATATGGTCGAATCTTTACTTTGAATCTACAAAATGTTGTTCTCTTTAAAAAAAAAAAAATTATCTCAGATTGGGCAACCAAAGCTAGTCATTGTTTTGACTATTTGATTTTTTTCCTCATCTCCAAACTCTATACAGTAAGAACAGTGTGTGTTATGTTTGCAAAAGTAAATTGTGAAGTGTTAGGATGACGTAGTGATAAAAGCCCATGAGATAAGGGAGTGCATGTACCTCCCTTTTGCATGAGCAAAACATTACTTGCATTCAAAAAAATTGAAGAATTGTTTGCTCAATTAGAGTTTTTCCATTAATTGCTGCGGTGGATTATGGATTCTAAGTTATAAATTCATCTTTTATAACCTGTTACATTTTTAGAGTGAATATGAAGAGGATGCATGGGTTTGAAAGATGGAATACCTCATAACATTGGGAGTTTTAGAGGTTTTGTGGTTTTTTCCTCCTCAAAATAGCCCTAAGTCACAGAATTTTCATACAAGCATAATTGTAGCAAAGCACCACCACTTGCTTATTTTGGTGTTACAACAAGAAACTTTACGCAGAATTTGTTGAATCTACTATCGTCAATTTTGAGCAAAACCTTGAAGGCCTAAGATCAGTTGTCACAGAGAGTAAGAGTTGAAATTTAATTACGTTTTCCGTATCCCAAGGAAGAATATTTCAGCAGTCGTGATACTGTACTCAGTTTGCAAAATCATTGCTCGGGGAGGGGAATTATTGGAAGGAACATGGTCTCTTTGCGGGTGAGTTCTTTCTGCCACAGTATAGCTCAAGTTGAAAGCACTTATCTGAGTCTTTCTGCTAGACCAAATCAACTTGGTTTAGTTAAATATTTTACATTTTTAGAAACAAGTCAGAATTATTTTTCAGCGAGTGAGAAAAAGTTTCTGTGAAGAACAAAAATGACGGACTTTGGTATCATAGCGCGGCTGATGAATTTTACATTTCTTTTTGTTGTCTCATGTTCAAGGCTTATATGAATCCCATAGCTATGGCCAGAGCGCGAGGTCCTGCCCAAAATTCGGGACCAACAATACAAGACTACTTGAACAGGCCAAGACCAACATGGTAAGTGGCAATACTCATCTGCCCTTCTGACCTTTTGAGTAAAAGATTTGTTCCCTCTTGCTAATATGACATTGATTCCTACCTCCTCCCCACAATACCCAGTAATACATCTTGAAGGATTCCTTGTCTCTGGCCAAGGCATTCTTTTCTAAAGATGTATTCAATCTCTTCTTTTAAAAACAGTAATATTTCATTTTGAAATGCATATTTCTCATTTGTCTTTAAATATTTTGGCAACAGTTTCTCAGAAAAGGTAAACGTTGGTCTTGTTACCTCTTTGACAAATCCTAATACCTAAAATCTGGAGATACACGTAATTTTTAAACAAAGTAATCTCTAGAAAAACATTTTGCTGGTATATTCTTAGAACACAGTTTACCCTACCCAGCGAAATCACCACTTTGAGATATTATCAACAACTTACTTTATGTTCAGTCCATTTTGCCTCCTCTCGTAAGGCATTAGAGAACAATTTACCTAATTGCAAAGTTAGCTTTAGATCTTTCAGAAGGATTTAGCTATTGTACTTAAGTTATTAGGGTTAGGTAACCATATGCATAACATCTAAGATGCTTTCATTCTTCTTTCTGTTGGAAGTTCAGCCAAAGCTAAACTTCAAAAAACCCTCCAAAAAGTTAGACACTGAAGAAGGAATTTTTAATTGTGATCTATCATCCTTTTTATGTAGGGAAGAAGTGAAAGAGCAACTGGAAAAGAAAAAGAAAGGATCCAGGGCTTTGGCTGAGTTTGAAGAAAAGATGAATGAGGTTGGTAATATTAATGTTAAGTATGTTGATACTTGATTCTTCTTATCTTATGTGCTACTTTTCCTCCATTATCATTAACAGTACCAAATACTCTTAATATTTCACTTCACTCAAGCTTTTAATGAGTAAACGTTTTGTTTCATTTGTATCGGAAGTTAAGGTTACCACTTAACCCATGAAGAGCTACTCTCAGTTCAGAGAAACACTACATAGAAAGTTTTGAAAATTGCTGCTGAATAAAACTTGAACTTTTCATAAATGTAAATGTAGTTATGTAAATGCATATGTTTATATTAACAAATGAAACTCGTGCATTTTCTGGTATGATAGATCAAAGTCTGTTGTGCTAATCTTCACTTGTTTAAAGTCACACAATCCAAAAATATTGGAAGAGGTGTATTGCTGGAAACAGATGTCTTTGGCAAGGAATGTACACATAATATTAATATGGGAGAAGGCACAAAGAATGGCCTTCAATATAGAGATAGGACTATAAAGTATTTCTTTGTCATCCTAAGCAGATTACATTCCATGCTGGTTCCCTACTTATAAATGCAGCTGTTCTGATGCTTGTGTGCATAACTTACTGAAGGTCAGCACAGTATCAGAAAGTTTCGCATGTAATTCCTGTTGCATGCACAGGAAGAAATTAGTACCCAGTGAATTTAACTGTTCCTGTTCCTTCTTGGGTTCTGATATCTTGGGATAAGCTTCAAGCAGTACTATTCATCGCCGTGTGCGAGTTTCTGGTTGAAGTAGATTATGTTCCTCCTCTGTTACTGGAAGGGCATAGTACCTCTGCTCTTGCTATACCTTTTTCCCTAAAAAGTTATACCAGTATTTGGAGGGTCATGGGGTGCTATTCTGAGAGGATCATTTGTTCTGCACTCTGTGATTTTTAGCTTGGTGAGTTTGGTTTAGTATTTTATCATATTCCTTTCCTGCTTGTATCTTTGCTTTATTGTGAAATAATTGAAATTGGCATGGATAGACGATAACAACCTGTCAGTACGGCAGAAGGGTAGGAAGGGATGCAGGGAATTATGAAATGGCCATGAGTTCTTCCTAAAGCTCCTAAGAACAAATCTCTGAATGGTTGAAAAGACTACAAGTCTCTGAATGAGGTTCTCTCTCCTATTTTACTGACAGGTGGTGTGCTTTTTGTTTAAACATAACACTAGCACAGCCTTAAAATAATTTTAAAGAGAACGCCTGCCTAATAAAGCACAGCTTGTTAGAGACCTCTCAGGAAGCTCTGGGTAGCTGGTATATCAAGGTATACAATCCGCTGCAATACTGCGTAGATGCTACCTTGGACCGTGGAAACACATTACACACAGGAGTGTATCCTGGCTAATCTGCCATGTCTCTTGGAGCACTGCTCAGCTAATTCACAGTATGCTGACTTGGGGAGCTGTGTATCGTAGTGCGTTGCACAGGTATAATCTTACTTAATTCCTGGTGTTTCTATTCAGCACAATATGTGGATTATCGCTTTGCCAGTAAAATACCAATATAGCTTTACTGTGAGGAAAGAGAGGATCAGAATAACAATAATAAAGAGGGAAGCACATGAAGCAGGAATAGTGCAGATTGAAGCCAGCAGCCTTTCAGTGTGATGGGCGCGGGTTGGATGTTTCAGAGCTCTTGAAGGGGGGATTTTGGGTAAACCTAGAGACCTTGTGAGGGATTGAAAAGGAGGAATGAGAGTGGAGTTTTATCTGTGCAGTGTGCTTGGCCTAACAAAAATGAGAGTGTTTCTATGAAGACATGTAGAATAACGTAATCATTGTGGACACCAGCAAGGCCCATAACAGACACTAGAGACACCCGTACATTGAAGAAGGGCCAGGAGAATTTGTCTTGAAATTCTGTTTCAGGTGATTTTAAAACTTAAGACAAAATAGCAATTTTTTTGGTAGGGCGCCCTGGCTTTCTAAAGTGGTCTAGCAAGAGCACAGTAATACAAAACCAAAAATACCATAATTGATGACCTTCAAGATAAAGGACAATCTCCTAAGTCCAAATAACTTGAACATTAAAGTATGAACTAACATGGTATTTCGATGAATATTAATCTTCTGTAAAATCAAATGCACTTGATTACAAAATCAAAATGCAATGCCTTGCTTAACATTATATGTTGTTTATTTTATGCGGGTTTGTGAAAACTGTAATGTCAGATAGAGGACAGGATTTCAAGAAAGGTCTCTTAAAAAAAGCTGTTTTGAAATGACGCTCATGTCAATGTTTCTGTTTGGGTTTGTTTTCAGAATTGGAAGAAAGAACTGGAAAAACACAGGGAGAAATTACTGGGTGGAAACGAGAGTTCCTCCAAAAAGAAAGAGGTAAGTTATTTTCAGTTTCATACAGTCTGTGTTTGGAACTGGATTTATCATTGGTGCTGCCAATACAGAATGTTATCAATACATTTTAAAAGCCAGCATCAAAGTACATAAACCTAAATGCATGACAAAAGAACATGATGCCAAAGTAACATTTGTTTTATTCTATTTTTAAGAAAAAGAAAAAGGAAAAGAAGAAATCTAATAGGGTGAGCAAAATTTTCAGTTTTCTGAGTTTTTTTGCTTTTAGGTTGTTCCTATTTGTCATTAAAGTTCTCTTGGAAAGAGAGTGTAGCTGTAATTTTGAATTAATTGTTAAATTGATGGAATTTTTTATTTGAGAGAGGTGGCTTACATTCTATACGAGGAGAATTTTACTTCTGCTTATAGGGAGGAAAAGAGCATTAAATATGTATTATTAAATGAAAAATGTTAGAAGTCACTTTTTAGAGTTTTATTTAAGAAAATCTATGTAAGACCAGCTTCTTGGAAGTAAAATTTCATTGATAATATTTTGTAAATGAAGAGATGATAAAGGAAGTGTTTGGATGGACTTTTGACTGTTTGCTAGATAAAATGCTGCATCTCACAAGCTTCACTTTTTGTTGTGTTTGGTCAAGTTGTCTTCATCTTCCTCTTCTTCATCAAGCTCTGATTCTTCCAGCAGTTCATCTGATTCAGAAGATGAGGTAAGAACTGACTTATTAGAATCTAACATGTTTTGTTCATGAGGCTTATTTAACACAGATTTTGGTAATATATTTTGGAATATTGTTTGAGGGCTTGGTTTGTGTAAAACTATTTCATTTTTATGCATTTGGTACATACTATAAACTTGTGAATTTTAGGTACATATTTGTTCAAGAATTTCTTATGAACACTGGCTTGTAAACTGGATCCATTTCTGTTTTAACATTGAATTGCATGCTTTTTCAATAGCATCCCCCATCTAATCATAAAAATGCAAACATACCATTTTTATTTTTTAGCAGAAATCTTTGTTACAGATAAACAGATTCTACAGCACACATCTAAATAATAAACAGAATCTAGAGAACCTGGATTTTTCACCAGTTTACATTTTTTCAATGCAGAAGAGTTACGAAGGTCCTCCGCAAAAAGAATCAATTGTAGTATACTTTATTCCTCAAGAGAACATGATAACGTGTAGGAATTTGGTGTTCCCTATTCTTTACATTTAATGTAAGTCTTTAATTCTAGTGAGAATAAATTCAGGGTTGTGTTCTTCTTTTTTCCCCACAATATTTGTGGATAGGATAAAAAGCAAGGAAAGAAAAGAAGGAAAAAGAAGTACCGTTCCTCACGGAAATCTTCAGCGAGCTCAACTTCTGAATCTGAGTCAGACAGCAAGGTAAATGTGCATTACCCTTGGCAAGTTTTCTTGATCTGTGTTATAAAGACATAAACATTTCTGACTTTTGCCTATCACTGTTTTTTTAATCTTCCAAATTTAAAGCCATGCATTCTTACTGTAGCTGAGCTGCACTTGTGTCTTCCAGATGCAATCATGAATCTTCGTCCACTGGCCACAATGCCTGGTGGAAATAATTTGATCTTTAGGAAATGAACATGCTTTATTCCAGCAATTTTTAGCTTTTTTTTCTGAATTCAAACATGTGTGGCTTTTGTGCTGCTCAAATGTTTAGTTTTAATAATACATTAACACTTAAAAAAATAAAAAGTTCTGTGAAATTCTTGTGATTATGCTATTTAATTGAACACTACCTGTGAAAATACAGGTATTGCGGGATATCAGTGGCCAGAATATTGCCTAAGTATCTGTGGACTGAGTAGTTTCCTGTTGGAGAACTGAGCCTTTCCCAAATGCATATTAAACTGAGGGTGTCTTCTTTTTCTGACTGTAGAGCAGTGTAGATACACAGGCTTACTGAATGAACAAAGAAGTGGAGAAAACACGAGTCAATTTGTTCTGTTAGCATTTTTCTGTGTTATAGTGGGTAGTAACTGTACTTCTTGCCTAAATATTAATAATACAGCAAGTTGTTAAGATTCTGTGTGTAGACGTTATCACAGGTTTTCACTGGAATACCTAATTCAGTGTGATATAAATTGTGATGAATCACTGTTTGCATATATCTCTGAATTTGTGCTAATGGGAGTTTGAAAACTTTTGCTACATAGAGGGACACAGAAATACCCTTACTGCTGAAATTGGAAGGCAGAAAACTCCACAGAAATACCTGGTTAACCCCTGCCTGATCAGTGGAGGTGGGCATGGATGGTGAATAAAGACTCCAGGCTGTTATGTGTGGTTACAGTAGCGATAGCTGGTATCCCTTCCAGAGGCTCTCTGCATGTACTGCAAGTACTCTGTTACCTGGTTCAGGAAATCAGCAGCTGCATCAAAATTATGGCTTTTTTATATTTTTCCTTTTAACTGCAAGGTAGAAAGAACAACTTTGAAGAACAACCTTCAATAGACAGAAAAAGACAATGGGTCAGCCAGCTTTTGGCATTTCTACCTTTTTCCCGAAATGATGTCGTCATGGTTTATGTTTTTCTTTCTATTTAGGACAGCACAAAAAAGAAGAGATCAAAGGAAGATTATGAAAAAGAGAAGGTATTTTTACTCTTGAAATACTTATATCAGAACTGAATTTTACATATATAATGGAGCTTGCGCTCTCTTTTATTTATTTTCCTTTTTTTTTCTTTTTTTTCCTTTCTTTTTTTCTTTTTTTAATACTGAATGCCTCAATTTACACCTATGGAAATTTTCTGTCCGAAATTACACAGTTAGAAGGTATTCAGTACCCCCAATTTGAGGTAGACTTCTAGTTGGGTTCAGCTTCTGCTTTAGTAATTGTTCATAGAAACTGCTGGATCTGTTCTTGTTATGCAGGTATATGAAAAAAGTATCTGTAGTAGATCAGCTGCATTCTAGTATTTTGGGTTTAAACTTGAGCAGTCACATTGAGCTAAAATATGTGTGATGGTATTTCAGTGGCATGCCTGGTAGGATGCTGGCTTGTTGCTGTAGATTAAGGAACATCAAGCAGAGGATATATTTATCTAAATGTAGTCATAATTATAGATATTGTACTTATAATGGTGTGGTGCTTTAACCTTGGCTGGATGCCAGGTGTCCACCAAGCTCCCTCCCTTCCTCAGCAAGACAGGGAGGGGAGAAAAATAAGATGGAAAAAAACCAACCCTGAACTCATGGGTCAAGATAAAGGCAGTTTAATACAGCAAAAGCAAAAGATTATTCTCTACTTCCCGTGGCTATGGGACAAAGCCCTGGAAGGAAGAGGAGGGCCACAAAGCTCATTGGAGGGATAGAGCACCTCTCCTATGAGGACA